GAGAGAGAGAGAGAGAGAGGCGATGGATGATCTGCTATGCTCCTCCGCTGACTAGACACGTCCTGAAGCGCGCGCGATCAGAGTTCGAACACACCCCAGTAGGTGCAAATCTGCTGGCCTGCACGTTCGCTTCGTCCTTCGTCTCGGAACGTTTCCGGCGGCACAGACAAAGGATCGGATAGGGGAATCAATCGATTATCCTCCGCCAGGTCGACCTCAAGTTCATATAAACATTTCTCGCAAGCCGTTCACATAGCCTCGTTTCTACCCTCATGTCGATTAGCTTGTCTGGAAACTTCGAAAGATAGGATGGCTTATGGTCTTTTTATACGCTGCCTGCAACATTTCACGTCAGCTGCATGCATGCACTTCGTTACTGGCACGTAATGCAGATCTCAGCCGCCTGCTGCCTCGCAACGAAGTGCATGCATGCAGATGACGTGGGCCCTTTTGGACGTCTGACGAGTCCTCGTCTGCGAAACGAGGATCAATCGCCATTTTCTGGACGGCACCACAAGCACGGCCAGATTCAGGCGCTGAATCCAATCGGAATTTGTGCAGACCTCTCCTAAAGCACGACCACATTCATTCAGGAGGTTATTCCAATCCGAATTTGTGCAGTGACCGTGTGCTGTTCTTTTTTTTTTTTTTTTTTTTTTTTTCCCTGCATTCTTCTCTCAATTGCACTACTACTACTTCGCTGATTCCATGTAAGTATGCATGTTTCTGCCGCTATTTGCTGCGTCAACTTCAATTGGAGTCGCTCAACTGCTCTCCACATGCACGAAAGACAAAAATTATGGTGGTGTATATTTCCATGATCCACGGGTGGATTCATTCTCGTTTTGCACGATTGGTGACTAGCGTAGCCGAGGCCCATTGCCCCAGATTGATCTAAATAGTGTAGATGGGTTAAATAAACTCTCTTTTCTTTCCCTCCCAAGTTCAGTTCATGCTTACGCAAGGGGCCATGCTAACTTTCTGTGTATGACGTCGTTATTTGTATTTTTATATTTTTTTATCTTTCCTTAGGGCATACTCACACTAGGCCCTCAACATCGCAAAATTCCCAAAATGAGCGGCCAGATCTAATTGTTCCCTTACAAGGACTCGATCTGGCCGCTCATTTTGCTATTTTGCGAGTTTGAAGGCCTAGTGTGAGTATGCTCTTATTGTCGGGCGCCTTGACGTTCAAGAGCCTAGCTCAGTGGGTACACCATTGAACTGTTGAAATACAGACCTGTGTTCAAATCCGGATGATGGAACTCTATGAGTAAAACCAAAATTGGGACGATACAGAGAAAGAAGATCAGAAGGGGGGGGATGGGGGCGCGGAAAGAAGATTAGCATGGCCCCTGCACAAGGATGACACGTGTAGATAGAGAAATGGCGTTAGCGGCCCCCGCCCGCCGGTGGGCCCACCCTACCGTAGTCCCTGACTGGTGCTGATTAGGGCGGAGATCAGTACTTGGCCCAGCTTTCGATGCCGAGCCTGAAAACGGGCTGGGCGCGGTTTTGCGCCAACCCGCCAGTGCAACCAAAAAAAACTGTTTTGGCTGGCAGTGCCAGCCTTTGAGGGCCAGTACCCCGAGCCTCCGGAAGTTGCTCGGGGTACGGGCCACTACAGGAGCGCCCAAATTCATCCAACTAGAAACGTTTCTACTCTATTTTTTTTCCGCGGCCGATAGCTGGGCCAAGTACTGGTGGTTTAAAGACAACGCCCCGCGGCGGATGTATGGGCCGAGTACTGGTGGTTTAATTGTGAGAGGTAGCTATGATTGTGGAGGTCCCCTGTATAGGCTTAGAGCCTCGTTCGACACCACTTGAAAATACTTTGTTTCAAGTGCACACTAAATTCGACACCACTTGAAAATACTTTGTTTCAAGTGCACACTAAATGAGAAAGTGTGAGTCATTTACGCTTGAAACTCGATTTATGGTTCCAACTTCCAATGTACACCAGCCTGCACTTGAAACCGAACTCCACGGCTTGACCAATCCTGGACCAGGATCGCCTGCTGGGAAAAAAGAAAAACAAAAAACAAGCCCCACTTGGAGTGCTGGTAGTATCAGCTGGCACTTGAACTCAAGCTACCTCCGGGAGGTACCTTCGATTTTGCCCCAGGGAGTGCTGGCTGCTGGGAAAAAAGATAAAGGAAGAATTTTCCGTCAACCCTCGAGTTCAACTGGTGTAGAACGAGGCCCTTAGGAGTAGTGGCAGGTACTAGATAGTGAAACGTGAAATTGAGAGAAGAATTTAGCTTTGAAAAAAAAAGAAGGGAAGAAGGGAGATAACAAAGAAGGGGGGGAAAACTTCAGAAGGGACAGAAGGGTTAGACGCTGGACCCGTTTTCTACCAGGTGCTGCTCCCTACTGACAGATTGGGGCCTACACTCTTTTCTTTTTTTTTGCTTGTCCTCCTTGCGCAAGGGCCATGCTCAGCTTCTCTATGACGTCCCAATTCCCTCTAGCAAAGAGGATTGGATTTTCTGCAGCATTCCAGAAACACGTCCAGATTGAGGCATTCAGTCCAACCCTCTTTGTAGGGGGACCTCCGGCCCCATGGAAGATATGGGACGAATGCAGATGGGCCTCATTGGCCCACTCTTTTTCTTTTCTTTTTTGCCCAAGTTTCCTGGCAGTATGGCGGGTATTTATTTTCCTGCTTATTTGCTTGTTGCAGTTCATGCTTGGAGGGGTCTGGGGCGTCCCATTAGCATCGTGTAGTGTAGTTGTAGTTTGTTTTTTTGTTTTGTTTTTTAATTTTTAACAAAACACAGCTCCCTCCAGTGCTGATAAAACACACACCGCTAGCGCCTGGAACGGTGGGACAAGATTGAATCGAGGGAAAATTATGTGTGACACGAGTATAGGCAGGAGAGTTTCTCCCCTTTTACTGCGTCCATGAGATTCTGACAGATCCAACCTGCTCTCAGACTGTTACTTTGGCTCTCACCTTTCGCCCTGCGAATGGAGGCTGTAGTTCTTACTTTTCCCGTTTTGTGAAGGGAGAAGCACTGCCATCATTGTATTGACGTCATTGAGTAGGACTCGAACTCAGGATCTGTTGACACAGATTTGCTGGTAGACCTCATGATGAGGATAGGGGAGCTCTGACCTCTGACGCTTCAATAGAGAACAGGCTCTGACAGAGGACTGACAAGTAGAGAGGAAAAAGAAAGAAAAAAGGGAAAATCTGTTGTGTAGCTAGGAACACGTTCACTATCAGGGTAGGTAACTACATGCTCCAAGAATGATGGGAAGGAAATTGTGTCCCCATTACCAGTGTTAAATCACCAGTACTTGGCCCATATGTCGGCCGCAGGGCGTTGTCGTTAAGGCCCCACAAGTTTCCAAGTCCCGGGGTACCGGACCTGAAAGGCTGACTCCGCCAGCCAAAACAATTTCTTTTTGTTTCGCTGGTGGGTCGGCGCGAAACGGCGCGCAGGGCATATTCAGGCTCGGCATTGATAGCTGGGCCAAGTACTGGTGGTTTAAGGATCAGCTTGTTTTCTTGTTCACGGCATCATCCTCTTAGGTTTGGCGCGCCTGTTTTCTTTCTGGCGCGGGTTCACATAAGCCTTCAGATGTACAGTGGTCTCCGACTTCTGTGCATCACACACACGTGTCCCGTTGAACTTATGTGCGGCACCGCGTTCCTACCTACAGCTACGCAATGCTAGTGGGACTTTGCCCCTGAGGAAACTTGGGCCCTCGCCTGGGTTAAGGGTTCGAAGACCCTGTAGCCAATCCGAAAAGACGCCTGCGCCTTCTTTCGCACCAAGAATAGGAATTGGACCTAGAAAAGCAGGTGGAGATATAGGGGCATTTTGCACGTGAGGACTTCTCGCTGGAATGGCTGAGACTCTGCTTGAGAACCTGCAGGGAACGAGAAACTTTAGTAAGTTAAAGTCGAGGTTCTCATCTGTGTTTATCGCAGCCCACGTGGGCGCAAATGTTGAAGGTTTTATGAGCTATGATGAAAGTTGAACTTCGGGTTGTGCTCCACTGCAGTTCTTCGACAACTTTCCTCTAAGAATTGTGGGCTCCACTGACGTTTTCACATTTCCTACCTTTCTGAGATTTCGCCTCCATTCGCTGAAAATTCCCCGACATTCACTGAAATCCCTAGTTCTCCTCTGTCCTTCATGATCCGCTGCTGATTCTGGGGTTCAAATGCATCAGGCCACGATTCTGACCTGTGTGGAATTGGAGTACACGATTTGCCCATGCTGCAAGGCACTATTTTGGTGAGACTCTTCAAAACGACCGGTACGTGGAGCCCTGTGACGCCCAACCTCACGCCCAGCGCTACTTCCTGATCGGAGTGGGATGGGGGCCCGGAAGTGCGAAAAGGGGTGTGCCAAGGATTTTAGGAAAGTGGGGGTGGAGTCCCAGGTCGGAACTGAGATCTCCTGTGGCAAGTTTCAGGGGTAAAAGTGCAAGTGGGTATGTGCAGGTCGTGCTTGGCGTTTTAGTGTTCATAAAAGGATAGGCCCCCTCTCGTGGCTTGCGCACAGAGGGAAAGCCGCAGATGTCGTGCAGCATAAGGCAGATGGCATGTGTAGTGCATCTCGGACTAAAGATCCTGGGGTACTTTTCCACAATCACAGCACCGACAGATCTAAACACTCTTGCATTCTCGAACAAAATCCCAACAACATTGCCCCTGCCAACGAACTCAATCGTGTCCCTCAAAATATCTCCGTAAGTCTCAGGCCCCAAAAATGGGAGTCACCATCTCTTTTGGTTTCGCCTTCGTGGTTTGTCGCGGGCCTGATGGATGGGGTGGACGCTGTGGGTGTCACACTGTCTGATCAGCTGTTGTCGCCGATCGCTACAGACTTCGGAATCAGACGACGAAGGTCTCAATCGGAGACAGTCACTGTGTGTTCGTCGTTCAGTCTCCGTTCGGGTTCATCGAACGAATCCCGAGGCTCGATGCTCGCTGTCCCGCTGGCACTCGGAGCAGGGGGTTCGGGGCCAGTAGGGAGCGATTGCATGCCACGGGATAACTGTGAGGTAGTGGAAGGGTAACACCACTCGGTAAGGTGGGCAATGGGTTATTAGGACGACAACCCCAGGTTCGGAGAAGACGTGGCTCGTGTGGGACTCAGGGAACTGGGTTGCATAAGGGACGGTGTCTAGTGCTTTTCGTATATCCCAGTCGCAAACCCGTTCGTTTCCTTGCTAGTAGGGGAATCTCGGAGGATCGGGTCGGGGCTGCGCAAGGAAGTACGCGTTCTTTCGTTCCCAATACTTTCGAAATTCGGGGTCCTGTAGACTTTACC